CGACGACCTCCTTCCGAGACACTCGGCTGGCCGGGAAATGAAGTCGTGAATTCAGCGATCTCGGATCGGGAATGTGGAACCGCGCGAACCTACGTGATGCCAACGCGAGAATCCCTCAGGCGACGAGCATATCGAAATATTTCTCTGCATTTTCCCTCCTTATTTTATTCCGTGGATTAATAGAAATCGAGAATACACGAACTTTCGCCTTTACTCGATATTATCCGTTCGAGTGCTGTGGAACGCTATAGCGCTCTTGCGTTGTGCCGAAATTAATGAAATTATCAATCGCTACGGAGCGGAAATTGACGCAGGATATATCTATAATTTTGTTTCAATAAATTGTTAAAAGTAGTGTTGTATCAATTATAATTGAGGAGATGAACTTTAGGAAACTACCGTATCAGTCAAAATGACTTCGATTTGTTTGTTTAGTAATTATTGATATCTTCGAAGCATTGAATATTCGAAATGAAAATAAATAGTTTCAGTACTATGATGAATGCCCGAAGAAACTGAAAATAATCTATTGTTAAAATTTTTATAGGAATTGAATATTAATCGTATTAACACTAGAACTATCGTACCAGTAAAAATAACTGGTTTCGATTTGTTTGTTTAGCAATTATTGATATCTTCGAAGCATTGAATATTCGAAATGAAAATAAATAGTTTCAGTACTATAATGAATGCCTGAAGAAACTGAGAATAATCTATTGTTAAAATTTTTATAGGAATTGCGTATTAATCGTATTAAATGCTCGGTAGTTCTAGTGTTAATTTCCCAGTCTAGTCGCTTTTGTTCATTCTCAGGCAAACAAGATTTACGTCAGACACGTTCGTGCGAGCGTAGACGCCAGCCAGTTACGCTCTCGGCGGTAGAACCGTCGGCCATTGAAGAACGAGCTGTCGGAGATTGAATCTCAGGTGCGTTTCCACTGAAAGAGTTCTACTCCCGAGAGCAACTATACGCGCGTCTCCACGCGAAGCCGGCACTCGAGAGTAGAACTCTGTTAACACTTAGGTAACCGCCTAAAAAGAACTAGAACTTCAACATCCTCTATTATCTTCAATTGAACTTATTTAACTGATTTTATCAGGAACTTTGTTTTATAAAAGCAAGAGAGTAACTTGAAAAATTGCAAATAACTCGAATTCAAGACTTACTGAATAACAGAAGAAAAAATGAACAAAAGGCAATGCGTTGCCAAGGAAAAAGATCTTCCTATTCGGTTGGCTAAGTGTTAACACTATTTATTTCGTAATTATTGATATCTTAGAAAAATTGAACATTCGAAATGATCTTGAAAGTAAACAGTATCACTTGAACACTATAATGAATGTCTGAAGAAATTGATAATAATCAATGATTACAATTTTCATAGGCATCGCATATTAATCGTATTAAATGATCGGTAGTACCCGGAAAACGTTGAATATTTCCAGTGAAAAACTTTCGAGTGCAAAGGGTTAATTCAAAAATGGTCTTATCTCGACGACTACTTTACTCGGAATAACTGATAAACTCTGATTATTATTATTGCACGCACGGTGCGCAACCGGTCTTATAGCCTCGGAAATCAATTGCATACACGGTGTGCAATCGGTTTCGAATGGGTTAACACGTTCCGTGCCACGTGCACCACGTGTGGTACACGGCAATTTTTGTAAGAAAATATTTTCTACCCTTTGCACTCCGAGCAATTTTTAATATAACCTTCTAGCAACTCCGAATCAGTTTTAATATGAACTATCAGCTACGAGCGTTCTGTAAAGGATTTAAGACTCTGCTTTGTCATTAAAAAAGCGCGTGTACATTTTAAAGTTACATTTGACTGAAAACGAAGTTATAAACTTATATTACAATGTCAAAGGAGTGCAAAGGGTTAATGGATACACGGTCAAGGATAGCAGTATACGTTACGAAGTGAAAACATAAAGAAACTATATCAAGATACATAAAAATCACCGAAAAGCTGAATATAACTTATTATTCTATTGAAAGAATCAGTTCATAAAGAAAATATAGCCGAAGTACCCGTAGCACGGAACGCGTTAATGGAAACGCACCTGCATCCAGCTCACCGACAGCTATTATTCTGAAAGTGCTGCGGTTCAGGCTTTGACGAGCGGAATTCGCAGGTGTTCACGCTCGCTTAGGCAAAACTGTCGCACCTACTCTTCGGAGTAACTCTCTTATAGGTACGTGGAATTCATTACACGTGTGGAATCCTTCGTTATCTCTTGCTTCGTTTTACCGTGAAACTCGAGGGAGATCATTCTTAACACTAGAACTACGTACCAGTCAAAATGACTGGTTTCGATTGTTTTGCTTCACAATAATTGATATCTTGACACATTTTAACATTTTAACATTTTAGATACGTATAATTCAAATCCAAAGTAAAATTTACTCGAATTTTACTCGAAAATTATAAATAAAATTTACTCGAAATTTAATCGAGTCCCTTATTCTCTTCCGTAAGTTAGAAATTTTCGTCTGATCGATGTTTAAAAATGTATCAATATAATCACCGACGATCGTTGTTTTCAGTAGCCGAAATTTAGCCGGCGTTCAATGCGTTGAAAGCATTGAATATTCGAAATGATCATGAAAATAAATAGCTTCGACTTGAATACTATAACGAATGCCTAAACAAACCGAAAATAATCTATTAGAATTTTTACAGGGATTGCATATATATTAAAGTGTGCGTTGTTTAATTTAGTTAGTGTTATTGTGAGCTGTGATGAAATAATTATAGTTTCAAATAAAATTCTCTTTCTCCTACAATATTTACTCAATGAATATTTCTAATGAAAAATATTGTCGAGTGAGAAGGGTTAAATGAAATCCTATAATATCTATCTATCAGATCAAACAAATGAAGATCAAGCGATCACGATCACCGAAACACCTTCGGAACTCACCCGGAAATCAGCGTAGAATTCTCGAAATTTCAAAAGCGGGAACGCCGAACGAAAAATGGAGAAAGGTAAGGGAAAGTTCGAGGAAACAAAGCTAATCCGAGGATCGTTTGCCCCGAAACACACTCTCCCGTGGAGATGCGGCCTAAACTCTCTCTCTCTCTCTCTCTCTCAGCTCGCCGCGCGAGCAGCGTCACAACCTATCTCTATCCCCGCGATTCACCGGGCGTCACAAAGGTATGCGCGTGAAAAGCTCGTCGGGCGCATAAAGGGGAAGAAAAATGGAAACGATTCGTCGTCGTCGCCGTCGTCGTCCTCGCCGATGGAGCGGGTTCGAGCGGCGCGACCGCTTTAGCGCTCGAAAAATTACACCGACAAAGTTTATACACCTTGACTCCTCTCGCCTCTCTTTCTAGCTTGTCCCGCCACACCATATATACAGGGTGTCTCTTGTGTAGCCGATGGCACAACTGATGTGTTGATTCTATGTTGAAAAATGAATTGAACGTGTGGAATGGAATTTGTTCGTATGACCGTTTCCGTGAAAATCGATTTTGAGTATGTCTGTTTGTGTCGTCATTGGATCTTAACTAGTTAACTGTGGAATTTATTTAGAAAATAAATTCGTTCTCGCAATAAAATAGAAAAATGGAGCGTACTCATTGAAACAAAGAAGAGTTACATGTTTATGTGAAAAAATCAAGAATTCATTGTTGAAAGAATTAGCATCCTGTCAAGCCTTACGATGACGTGTATACTCGTCAAACATAGTTAACTGGTTAAGATCATTGTCCTTACGTTGAATGCCATGGGGGTCACCGGTGACCCTAATAGACTAAACTGAATTACTATGGTTCACTCGATGAAACGATGATTATATGAAAACATTTCTATGTTACAAATGATGCTATATATAATGACATTTAGCTAGATGAACGTGGAATAATAATGCAATTCGATCGAATGATTTAATATATTTTTTCCATTCTGTGTATTCTTCTCTTTGAAATCGTGCGGCGAAATTAAATTCCACAGTTAACGGGTTAATGAATTTTGTCGCTTCAACCCCTTCCTGTACAATGACGAGCGAGACTCACGATGAAGATTTCTAGACTAATTTAACGACAATCAACGTTGTTCATTACCCACGGATCAAAGGAGACAACTAGTTCGCTGTTATCAATGTATCATCTCCAAACGAAATTTCCGGTTAAATTAGAATGGACAATTTTGCTGCCTCTTTTAAATTGTCGATGGTAAAATATTACACGAGCTTAGTAACGAAAGTAAATAGTACGTCAAGGGGCATTTTACCTAATACTTTATCAAAATCAACTCAAACAAAAGTTTCACAATATTCAACCCCTTGTACCATCAATTACACGACACCCTGTACACACCTCCCACAGAAATATACAATATATATATTAATATATCAGTTATATTTTAACTATATTAACAAATCAACTATTTCAATCATTTATCAATTTTCCACCATTTTACCTGATACTTCTACTATGAAAATCAACTCAAACAAACAAAAGTTTCACAATATTCAACCCCTACCCTTGTAT